ACTTACTTACTGGGAGGGAGGGTCAGGTGTACCATGGTGAGTAGAGGTCAGGGGACAACGTGGGAGTTGGCTCTCTCCTTCCACTGTGCAGGTCCTAGTTAATTGAACTCAGGTTGTCAGGTTTGGCTACAAGCCTCTCTGTCTACTGAGCCATCTTGCCAGCCCTCTCTCTGGTATTTTCAAGAATGCTGGCTGTTGGCTCTTCAGAGCTCACACCAGACCTAGGCCCAGTTCTCAGAGATCTCTCAGTGTATGGCCCACACTCCAGAACTGGTTACCACCTGGGCTTTCCTTCCACTCTTCACTCCTACCCCTGATGCTGAGGATCAAACCTGGGGCCTCCTAGTGGTTGGAAAGTACTCTGTCATTGTGCTATATCCCTGACCCATTTTACTTTTGATTTTGAGGCAGGATCTCACTCACTTCCCCAGGCTGGCCTTGAACTTGGGTATCTCCTGCCTCCGGCTTCCAAGTAATTGGGATTATAAACCTGATCTACCAAGCCTGACTTCACTTGGTACTCATCCATGAGCTGCTGACTAGCCATCAAGAGCTGAGTGCTTGGGGACCTGGTATTCCTTCCCTGTCTCTCTCGGGGCTCTCTTCTTAGGAGCTCTCATCCTCTGTAGGCTTTATGGCTTCCTTTTCTGTCTCTTTTCAGCTCCAACTCCGTGTGCTAACCAGCTTGTTCGCTGTGAGTCCCAGCCTATTCCCACGGGGAGAAATCTGCCTAACCCGCCTTTCTAAGGGTGAACTGGGCTGTATATATATCATTGGTTAGCCGTGGGTTGCCTAGAGCGAGGCTAGGCTGTTGGCTGGTGGGGATAAGAGCACAGGAATGACTTAGCTCCTAACGGCACAACATGAACAGAAGAGGGAACCTGGGCAACTTCCTAGGAGAGTCAAGATGCGGACTTCTAATGCAAGAGAGGACCTCTTTGCGAGGCTGAAGTCCCATGCATTCCAGTGATGTGCTCGGTTTTTCTTTGGTTTCTGATGTTGTTGTTTGGTTTGGAGATTTTTCTAAAAAATAAAGACTTACTCTGTATCCCAGGCTGGCCTGGAACTTGAGGTAATCCTCCTGCTTCAGTCTTCCCAAGGGCTAGGATGACAGGCATGAGCCACTGCGTGTGTCTAGCTACTGACATTGTGCTTTCAACGTAGCTTCTTGCTGTTGTATCCTCAGAAAAAGAGGGATGTGAGCCCGCTTGGCATAAATAGAGAGTAACTCTCCTGAGGCCGCTGGGTACCGGAGCTGGAGGATAGGAAGCCAGGCTCCCATTCCCACCCAGGGGCTTCTACCAGTCTTGCCTGGGAACCCAGCTCAAGCCTGGATAATATTCCTGATAGTCAGGAAGCATTTGTAAACAAGGGTCCCTCTTTATGTAAGAGGACATACCGAAAGGAATGATGGGAGAGACTTTTAGTATACGATTATGCAGATAAAACATTTAAAAATGTACATTTGGTGTCATTTCAAAACTCACAAGCTAAGAACTCATTTTAGAGTCTATTCTGGCTACAGATTCTTAAAAACTTTCAAATCCAGCTTTCTTTAGTACCTAGGAAAAGTTCAAAACCCTAATGATTTGAAGAAGTACATCAAAGGATTATTTCTCGGTTTTTCCCTCACCATCCACAGTGCCGAGGGTAATCCTGTCGTCTCTTAAGCTTGTGTTTGACCTGTGTTGTCAAATGCTTTGTGAAAAGCTGTTCAGAAGGGCGCCGTGTGATGTCAGCTCGCATTAATTCCTTCTCCAGGAGAGGCACTCAGTATTCAAACTGTGTTTGTGCTGGCATAATCTATTTAGTCTTCAGCTTCGTTTCTGACAGTTTACAAGCACGCTTCCTTGGGAAGCCTCTTCTCTCTGCAAGCCTTGTGGAAAAGCAAGCCTCAGGAAGGGCAATCACAATGTCCCCAAAGCCGCTTTCCACGGGAACCGTTAGGAAACTGGAAAATATTTGAGAGAGCCGCCTAAGAATGTGTGTGACCAACTGGTAAGAAGTGCAGCTGTTTCCACCAAAACATCTTATGAAAACTGAAAACTAGCACTTATCCACCTAAGGAAAAATGTCTCAATAGAGCAAATCCATTCATGTCAATGCATCTTTTCATGTAAGAGATAATTTATTCACTTGTTTTCAGCTATCAGCCACATACTGCGTTTCTAAAATCATGAAGTCCTTTAACTCCCTTAGAATCATGATTTCATATTAGCAAACACCTAATTTTTCTCTGATTAGTTTCATACACATCAGTGTGGGGTAGTAAAACATGTTCATCTTAAATTCCTCATTTGAATGGACAACACAAATTGCTGATTCATCAAACCACTGCGTTTAGAAAACAACTAAGAAAAAGCTTTTACTAAGATGTTGACCTAGATTTTGATGATTTTGAGATGAAGTCTTGGCAACCTTTATTCTGGTTGGAGCGGGACTCTCGAGCAGTCCCGTCAGCTACAGCCCAGCTGGCGGGCACGGCTCCTACTCAAGTTTTCACTTCCTACCGTCCTTCTGAAGCCTGGTTCTGGCAGGTTCTGTGAGCACCAGGGGCTCTTGGATGATGGTTGCTGTGTAATTCTTCCCCAGCAGTTCAACCTCCACCTGCTGCCCCACGTCACTGAGCTCTACAGGGACATAAGCAAAGGCCAGGCTCTTCTGGATGCTGTAACTATAGCTTCCGGACGTTGTGTTGCCAACCACCTGAGAAAGAAGAACAGCTGTCCTCAGTGTGGTATTGTGTTCCCCCAAAGATTGTGCATGCTATTAAACTTATCTGGGGTCAGAGACAGAGCAGCCACAATATTAAACATAAAGGATAGGCAGTGGTAGCACACGCCTTTAATCCTAGCATTCCAGAGGCAGAAATCCATGTGTTCAAGGATACAGACAGGCATGGTGACTCATCACGCCTTTAATCCCAGGGAGTGGTGATAGAACGCAGAAAGGTATATAAGGCGTGAGGACCAGAAACTAGAAGCATTTGGCTGGTTAAGCATTTGGCCTGGTTAAGCATTCAGGCTTTTGAGCAGCAGTTCAGCTGAGACCCATTCTGGATGAGGACACAGAGGCTTCCAGTCTGAGGAAACAGGACCAGCTGAGGAACTAGCGAGATTCCTGCTACATCTGGCGCCCAACGTTTGTGGTACGAATTCATGAAAAAGGTGCTTGCCTGCGGTCTTGTGGGCCCCAGCTCAGGCCCGAGCTACACTTGGCCAGTTGTGGTGGTGCACACTGGTAGGATTTGCTGAAGGAGAGAGAGGCAGGAGGATCCCGAGTTTGAGGCCAGCCTAGGAGGCTTGGGAGAAGCTTCGGCCCAGACCGAGCCACAAACAGCAGTGGGACCATGGAGGCAGTGGCTACTGCTCCATTGCCAGCTCCTTCTCATCGTGTTGGTGACTGCGGTGATGCTGCTACCTGGGACGAAGGATTTACTGCTGCTTGTTCAGAGAAGAATTGCCAGGACCATCATGTTACAAGAAAATATCGGCAAAGGTCAGTTTAGAAAAGTTTGGCAAGACAAATGGTGGGGAGAAATTGCTGTGAAGATTTTCTCTTCTAGGGAAGAATGTTCATGGTTCCGAGAGACAGACATTTATCAGACTGTGATTACTCCAAACCACAGAGGAGGCAAAAAAAAAAAAATCTGCAGGGAACCATGACCATGCCTAACAGCAACTTTGGAATCTTCAAAAGGAAGACGGGACTCCACAAAGATGATTCCACATGAACTATGGTAAAGCCATTAAGCTGATTAACACCAAGGAAAGATTGACGTTGGACTACAAACTACTCAGGACAATTTTGAGATAGCTAGCTGACATGATCCAGCTTGATGGACTACTCGAACAAGGACCCGACAAGCCCTGAACTTTCCTATTATACAGAGACTGGACAAATGATACAGGACTTGACAATTAACCCAAAAAATTTCTCTTCAAGATTCCCTAAAGATATCTTCACCCCTAGAAAGCAAAAAGAAAATGAGAATAAGATGTGAGATAGATCATTGAATCTACTCTGAGAAAAAAGATAAAGAAACAATAGGATAAATAGGTAAATCACTGAATCTACACTGAAGAAAAAGGGGAAGATATAAAAATGACAAAAGGTAGACTACTGAATGTATTATGAAAAGAAAAAAGAGAGAATATGGATATGATAAGATAAAAAGGGAGATTATGGAATCTACTTTTAAAAAGGAACTACTTGTTTTAAATAAGATAAGTAACGAAAATTTTTTTGGCCTGAGTTTATCAGATGTTACTGGACTGGACATTGTTAATATATATAATGGAGTTTGCTGTGGGATGGTCTGTATGTCAAATGTGTTGCTGATTGGTCAATGAATAAATCACTGATTGGTCAGTGGCCAGGCAGGAAGTATAGGCGGGACTAACAGAGAGGAGAATTGAGAGAACAGGAAGCTGGGTGGGAGAGACACTGCCAGCCGCCACCATGACAAGCTGCATGTGAAGATGCCGGTAAGCCACGAGCCATGTGGCAAGGTATAGATTAATGGAAATGGATTAATTTAAGCTGTAAGAACAGTTAGCAAGAAGCCTGCCACGGCCATACAGTTTGTAACCAATATAAGTCTCTGTGTTTACTTGGTCAGGTTTGAGCAGCTGTGGGACTGGCGGGTGTCAGAGATTTGTCCTGACTGTGGGCCAGGCAGGAAAACTCTAGCTACAGGAGTTTTTATCTGAATCTGTCAAATGTTAATGGACTAGACATCGTTAATGTAATCTTGACTGTGTATATTGTATATACTTACTGGATATAATTTTTCTTGTATTAGTTATAAGCTTTTTTAAATTTTAGACAAAAAGAGAGGAAATGTGGTATTGTATTCCCCCAAATATTGTGCATGCTAATAAACTTATCTGGGGTCAGAGACAGAGCAGCCACAATATTAAACATAAAGGATAGGCAGTGGTAGCACACGCCTTTAATCCTAGCATTCCAGAGGCAGAAATCCATGTGTTCAAGGATACAGACAGGCATGGTGACTCATCACGCCTTTAATCCCAGGGAGTGGTGGTAGAAAGCAGAAAGGTATATAAGGCGTGAGGACCAGAAACTAGAAGCATTTGGCTGGTTAAGCATTTGGCTGGTTAAGCATTTGGCTGGTTAAGCTTTCAGGCTTTTAAGCAGCAGTTCAGCTGAGAGCCATTCGCACATGAGGACACAGAGGCTTCCAGTCTGAGGAAACAAGACCAGCTAAGAAGTTGGCCAGGTGAGGTTAGCTGTGGCTTGTTCTGTCTCTCTGACCTTCCAGTATTCACCCCAATAACTGGCCTCAGGTTTGATTTTATTAATAAGAACTTTTAAGATTCCTGCTACATCTCAGCATATTAGCATAGTGGTCAGAGCATTGTGCTCCTTGTCTCCAGATGTTTCCCCAGCTAGAGTCAGTTCACAACGGGGAGGGGGCTGTTAGCATCTATTCATTGTCCATTATATAATTCATCCCGAAATAGTTACAGTGTATGTAACTTCACTCCATCCTTTCTCCTTCTGGTCCCTTTCTTCTCAAATCGCCTCCTTTCTACTTTTATGTCTTATCTACAGATACTTTTCGATCTGTATTCCACAGATGAAAGCAAACACGTACCATTGTCTTTCTGAGTCTGGTTTCTGTCACTTAATGCCCTGATCTCCCGTTCCACACACTCTTCTTTGTGGCTAAGTAAAACGTCTTTGGATATTTGCACTATTTTCTTTAATACCTCTTTTGATGGACACCTGAGCTGACCCCATGTTTGCTATTGTGAATACTGCTGATCATGAGTGTGGTATCCCTGTGGTGTGCTGACTCGGATTCCTTCATGTATTCTCAGGAGTGGTATGGCTATAATGCTGATTTCAGTCTTTGAGGAACGTCCACACTGATGTCCATGGTGGCTGGACCAGTTAAACTTCCCACCAACAGTGTATGAGGGTGTCTTTTCCCCTCACATTCTCACCAGCACTATTATTGTCTGAAGAAGGACTGTCTGGGGGAGTGCATTTTCAACCTTGCCAATTATAAGGTGTGATGTTAATTGTTAGTTTTATCATGTGTTCTAGACTCTGGAGAAATGAGTAGAAGTCCTGGTACCTACCTTCAAGAGCTTCCAGCTTAGTTGGGGGAATTAACAGAGCTACAAGAAAATAGAACCCAACAGCCGTGGCTTAAAACATGAAAGACTTTCTTTGAAAACAGTGGGATTAGGTTGACAGAAATAGAGGATGAAAGCTTCCAGAAGGAGGGAAGGCTACAACCAGCGAATGGTAGATAAACCAATAAAAACGGGGTGGGTGAATTTGGACCCTATCTCACCTAGCAATGGGCAAAGAAATGAGCCATCAAAGCCAGGGGTGCTTCAGGGAAACTGGGGTGTGACAATACCAATCAAGCAATCAAAACCCAGGAGACGAAAACGGGCTTTATCCAACAAAACAAACAAACAAACAAACAACAACCCATGCACTGAGTCCCATGAGAGGATCAGAGGGTTAGTGCAAGGCAGATCTAAAGGGAAGATGACAGAGAAATGCAAGCAGAACGCCGGGCTGGAGGTACGGCTCAGCAGTGTCAGCACCCATGTCCGGTGACTCCCAACTACCTGTAACTCCAGCTCCTATAACTGGCGCCCTCTTCAGGTCCTTAGGCACTGCACACACATGGTGCACATACAGACGTGCAGGCAAACAGGCATGCACATAAAATAAAGACTTTTGTTTATAGAAATCAGAATTCAAAACAAATTGTTAGGTCAAAACACTGCTTGGAAAAAAGAAGACAACAAAGACAAAATATGATCTGTAAAGAAATGTACACACATACATGCATACACATACACACCTATATACTCATACACACATACACATACACACATATACATACACACATACATACATATATACACACACATACACACATATACACATACACACCTATACACACATATACATATACACACATACATACATACACACATACAGACACATACACATACACACACATACATACACATACACACACAGACACATTCACACACACACACACACACACACACACACACACACACACACACACACACACTTGGGGTCTCATAACATTCTGCTGGTCCTTCTGGCCCCACTGTCCAGCACTGTGGACTGCACGTGGCTGATGTCAACACTCACAGCATGAGTCCACCTGGTCCCTCAGACAAGAGTTCAGTTTAGCACACACCACTTCCAGTCTTTTAGATGTTAACACACTCATGAACTTAACTGTAGACCCTTATCTCTGAGGTCTGGGCTTCTAACTATGTCTTTGAAACCCCAAATCAGCAGCTCTCGTGAGATTCTCAGCTTATGACGAGAACCGGTTATTAAAGACACAAACAACGGAGCTGAATGTTTTCACCTGTCATGTGATTGACAGCTAAAATTCAGCACGTGCTTTGAAGTTGTTTCTTCTCCTCTGGGTCGGAGTTTAGTAGCAGAAAGTAAGGATTGGGGTCCAAGAGGGTGGGGTTTTGAAGGCTGTCTTGGTGACTTTGGTTGCATTTCTAAGTCTGTAAACCAGGGATTTGTGTTGGGAGGTGGGAGAGTTGAGCTAGTTTGCCTCGGTGACTTAAAAAACAGGAAGAACTCTGGGTGACTCTGGGTGCAGCTCCGAGTCACTGGTCACAAGCCCTCGGTCACTTCAGAGATTCCTCAGCCGTCCT